GACATATGGTAGTACAGCAGGCACACGCTCGACTGTGGCCGGCTTCACTCGGTCACTGTGACGTAGGCGCGGGACCTTTTTTCTTGAAGATTTCTTGAAGAGATGCAGAGATCATAATCTCATTCCTACGTGTGTCAAGATATCCACTAAAAAAGACATTCGAGGAAGCGCCAAGATCTTAAATCAGGCTAGTAAAAAGTTGTTAATGACGGTGATTCAGCAAAAACGTACCGATCTATATTTCATAAACAAAACCATAGACAATTCGTCTATAAAAAATTGCATGGAAACTTTAGATAAACGCGAAACAACTAAATACAATGAATGCAAAAATAAACACATTGATAAATACCATAAATTAACAACTAAATCAAATGTCCAACATAAGAAATCGTTGACCACAGACACGAATCATAAACAACGCGCTGTCTACAACTTATCAAAACAAACACTGGACGACGCCACAATAAAAGTTTTAGAAAAAGGTATTAATTTCGCAATAACACCGCGAAAAATACCGTATGAGGACATTATCTGTAGTGTTGAGGACTGTCTGTATAAAAATAATATTGGTAATGAAGATTTAGAGGCCATACGTCAAGACATCTCGTCTATGTTACGTCGAAGTTCAGCGCCGAAATTAAATCTCCCCAAAAATGAATTTAACGCGTTGAAAAACTTACGCAACAGACCAGAGCTTACGATTCTCCGCGCAGATAAAGGTAATTCTACGGTTATAATGGATACGTCAGATTACAATTTTAAAATACAACAACTTTTGTCGGATGAAACTACTTTACGAAAGGTCAAAACAGACCCTACAACTAATACGCTTAAAACAACTAGCGATCTAATTAAGAAATACTCCGAAAAATTGAATCTGGACGTTAATTCGATAATACCTTCCTGTGCCAAACCACCGAAGTTGTATGGGTTACCAAAGATACACAAACCGAATGCTCCATTACGTCCAATAGTGAGTCAGATTGATTCGCCAACTTACAGATTGGCTCAATACTTAGCTAAAATATTATTACCACTCAGAGGACACACAAGAGCACACACTAAGGATTCATACCATTTTGTCAGTGAGATAAAAGACCTACATCTTACTGACAATGAAACCATGGTCAGTTTTGATGTTCAGTCTCTATTTACATGCCTACCTGTTGAAGACTGCATCTCAATTATAACTAGGAAACTAGAGGAAAATAACATGCCAGCAGAATATGCAGTATTACTAAGACATTGCCTTACATCTGGCTACCTATTGTGGAAGGAAGAGTTTTACAAGCAAGTAGATGGTGTGGCGATGGGCTCACCTGTATCTCCCATTGTCGCCGATATATTCATGGAAGACTTTGAGGAGAAAGCTCTCCTTACTGCATCTGTTACACCAAGGATCTACAAGCGGTACGTAGACGATACTTTCACAATTTTACCATCAGACAAAGTAACTGCATTTTTAGAACATCTTAATTCCATAAACGCTAAAATTCAATTTACTATGGAGTTAGAGGCAAATAATTCCTTACCTTTCCTAGATGTGTTAGTCATCCGAAATCCTAATAACACCATTGGTCACACTGTGTATAGGAAAAAGACCCATACAAACCGATATTTAAACGGTGAATCTCACCACCATCCTTCACAGTTAGCTACCGTGGGCAAATCTTTGTTACAGAGAGCACGAGGGATCTGTGACAGCAAACACCTGGCCGCCGAGCTTCAGCACGTCAAGCAAGTTCTGCACGACAACAAGCTTCGGGTCCCGCGCCTACGTCACAGTGACCGAGTGAAGCCGGCCACAGTCGAGCGTGTGCCTGCTGTACTACCATATGTCAGAGGTGTCACAGACAAGATTGGCTATATCTTGAAGCGAGCTTCTATTAGAACATTCTACAAGCCACCGAAGAAGATTAGTCAGTTCCTACCATCCGTCAAGTGTCATATTCCTCTACAAGATGCAGGAGTGTACAAGCTTGATTGTAAATGTGGTCTCTCTTATATAGGACAAACCAAAAGATCAATTAGGACCCGCGTAAAAGAACATATAGCTGATGTGAAGCATCAACGTTCCGGGAAGTCTGCAGTTTGTGATCATATTCTAGACGGCCCCAACCATTACATCAGATTTGATAGACCACAAATCCTCGCGAAAGAACACCGATTCCTACCAAGGATGATACGTGAGGCTATTGAAATTAAAAAACATCCTAATTTCAATAGAGAAGGAGGCTGGGTACTACCACCTGCTAGGGATCCTATAATCAATAAAATTAAAACTAAACCCAAGCATACCACTGCAAGACCTCAGGACATAGTCAGTTCATTTTGCATAGATCGGACCATAAACAATAATTAAAAAAGCTGAAGGTACTCCGGGTTTAACAATGACATCGGGACGTCAGTCATCTCAGTCCCCCGTGACCATGGGTACTGGAAAGCGCCCGAAACGTCGGGAATTAAAAATAAAAAGTAAAAAATAAACGCGACAAAATCCGTAAAAGTAGTTTTAATCAAGTTAACTTACAACGAACACAAAAGATTATGATGCTCTGTAAGAGCGAGGAGACGTTCCTGAGGGGACCTCGCAGCGCGCAATTTGCGTGCTAACACCGCGATTTCACTAATGTCGATGTTTCTAATAGCGGAATTGCCTAATAGCGGTTTTTAGGTCTTCAATGGTGGGCTGTGATTGTTGTTGTTGTGGGGCGGAGGTTGTCCGCGGTGGGTCTGCCTTATTGGGGCCCCAAGGAAAGACTGGAATCTGCATAGGCTTTGAGAAGCCCGGAGGGGGTCGAATAATGCACTGAGAGGGCCGAGAGAAGCCCTGGATGGGCTGAGAAAGGCCCTGACGGGGCCGTTGGTAGAGAGCCGGGAATGAGCGGTCATTGACCGGCGGTGGAGCTTGTCTACTGGGGCGAGGATGAGGTGCGCAAGGGCAGCCTCTGTAGTTTGCCGGGTGGCCTGTTTGTTTGCACAGGACACATGCGGGTGGGGATTCGGCGGCTTTGGGTCGAGTATACTATTTGGGGTTCAAGGCACTTAACGCACCTGGGTGGGGTGGAGCAGTTGGCCGCCGCATGACCATATAGCTGATAGCGGTGGCACTGCGCCGGGAATCTGCGCCTATGTGGGGGCTCAACCTTCACTCTTGACAGGCCACACACTGTGCGTACCCGCCGGCAGATGACTTTTGCCTCCGGCACGTTTGTTAAGATGACTAGGGCAAGATTGAACCTTTTGCCCATTCTGCTGTGCATTTTGTGCACGGCTTCTACGGGGAAACCTTGGGACTTAAGGTCCTCTAGGATTTCCGCGTTGGAGAATTCAAAGGGGACACCTCGGATGACGGCCCTGACTTTTCGCTTTTCCAGAAGAGCGTAGGTATGGTATGAAACTCGTTCGGCTGTGAATAGCCTGGTCAGCTGACGGAAGTCTTCGATTGAATTGGGGATGATTTTAATAGTCTCCCCGAGGTTGATGGCGTGGTCGTATTTAATGCCTGCGTCGTAGCAGGTTTTAGATAATTTGATGAATTTTGCCTCGTCTCTTAGGAAGACAGGGGGCGGGACTTGCTTCTTGGCAAGGACTGGAGCACATCGAGAGGCTGGCTTGGCCGTAGGGGGGATGTCTAGTCACATAAGTGAGACCGCGGCAGCGGCGGAGGCTGCGGGGGCAGAGGCGGCAGCGGGGTTACGGAGGTTGTAGGGGCGGCAGGGGCCACTGAGGCACGAAGGATGCGTTTTTTCGAGGCGCGTTTACCGCTGCGCCTGGAGTTCACCGTAGTGAAAGAGGAGTCTATGGTTCCGTCGGAGTCACAGGACTCCGATGAACCGGTGGCAGAGTTGGTGGCGGGCCTCTTCCGGGAGGCCGATACGACGGACTCGGAGCGTTCGTACTCCATTTCTAGGGGGGCAAAGGAGTTTTGTGTTTTTAGGTAAGTCGCGATTACGGGCGGCGGTTGGAGTGCCTGAGGGGCAGGGGGGAGTAGCCTGGGCGGCGATAGTGGCAATGGCGGCGAGGACCGTCTCATTGAGGTTTATAACATAAGGTATATGACGGTGGCGATGGACTGAGAAAGGCTATCTGTGGACATTTTGGGGCAGTAGTATATAATAACAATAATAACAGAGAAATAACAAAATATCAACAATAAAACAATAACAACAAGAATAATAATAATAATAACCGCCGCTCCAGGTTCAAATGCAGAAGGCGGTGCTCCTCGATACCGCCCGCATCGTCCGCCGGTTTCTTTCCCTTTCCCCCTAACCCTCGGCCGTTTGGTCTCCCCTGCCGAGGGCCTCCATCTGGTTGGGCTTTTATTTATTTATGTACTTTTATATTTATTTTATGTTATTGATATTTATGTATATTTATCTTTTCATTTTCATTTATAATTATATATTTATAGCACCCAACCAGATGAGAAAACTATAAAGATACCCCAAAATAATAATAAAAAGGCGTAGGGAAGTGACGACCCCATCGCCCGCTGACGTATCGGTTATGTGACAAAACCGCTACGTCAGCGCAGTCAGTCAGCACCTTGCCAAGAGGTGTTAGTGCCGTGCCTCGGCAAAAATTGAAGGTGCAAAGGCCCGCTTGTGCACATGGCCTCACCATGAAACGGCGCCGGGTCTGGGCGTCTCCCGCTAAATGACGCCCTAAAAATGGATGATGGAATTAAATAGAACGCGCAAAGGGCCGCTGCCTGGAGGTCGCCAGGGCGCGTCTGGAGCTGGCGCTGGACGCGACAGCATGCGAACCGCCAGCCGAACGCGAGGTGCTGCACGACCACCCAGCAGCCCCTCGCATCCATCATCCCCACCAGCTGGCTTGGTGTCGGCAGGGTCTTCGCGGGCCCAGCAATCGGCACCCGCCTCTGGTGGAGTACGCCGCATGCGTTGGACAACCCAGATGAACAGCAACGCATTGCGGGCGTATTTTAGGGCGAAAGGGGAGAAACTGGAGGTTTTGCGTATCGGGCAAGGATGCATCGACTTTTTGCTGAGCTGGAGCCATCTGTAACCGTCACCGAGCAAAACCTGGCAGACCGAGTTCGGTATATCTTGCGCTCAAATACATTTGTTATTACCGAACTCGAACGGCTACGACGTGAGGCTGTTCCTTCATCGGGTGAAAATGCTGCGGTTGAGGATGCGGCGCCACAACTTGCTGAGCAAACGGTAAATGTAGATGCCGCCGTGAACACGCCAGTTGTGGTTGATTCTGACGATGATGGAACAGTCGCCCAGGAACTGGAACTAGAGCAAATGAGGAGTACATTGGAAGAGGCGATAGTGGAAACGCGCAGTACGCCTCTCGAAAATCAACCGCGACTTCCCCGCTTAGCCCTAAGCAAGCGGAATCGGGCTGTCGTGAGGGCTCTGAACCCAATGCTGGTTACCTATTGGGAAGCCAACCAGGACCTTTGCGAGACGGACTCAATTCTTTTTGGCGCCGCACTGGCGTATTATAGGCGCCAAACTTTCCACGGCTGGACGCGCTACTGGACAAAGTAGTGCTATCCCAGCCTGGAGAATAAGAATTGAAGAACGTATCGCAAAGGCTAGGGCCCTCATCGGCAGACTGATATGCTTCAGGTCAGGCAATACCAGGCCAAGGATTGTGCGCACCGTCAGGATGGCGTTTGCTGGGACAAATGTTAGTTTGTCCCAGCCGGATATAATGCAAAAACTGACGGAGCGCATAGACGACCTGAAGCAAAGAATCGCTGCTTGGGGAAAGCGGATTCGGCGATATACCGAGAGGTCGACACCAGTTTACCAGAATCGTCTCTTCCAGAGTGATCATAAGAGGCTCTATAAATCATTGGAGCGATCAATAGTAAGTGGAACGGGCCCAGCACCAAATCAGGCCGACACGGTCGCATTCTGGCGTAGCCTGTGGTTAGAGCCCGTAAACCACAACGAGGGCCCTTGGACGGAAGTTGTGGCGAGGCAGTGTCCGGGTATTACGCCCATGGACCCCGTCATCATAACGCCGGATGACGTAGCTGAGGCGGTCCGTATGGCCCCGAACTGGAAAAGTCCGGGGCTTGACGGGCTGCATCACTACTGGCTGAAGGGGTTCATGGTGTGTCACGCTGTGCTCGCTCGACAGTTTCAAGAGGCTCTCAACCAGAAGTCACTCCCGAGCCTCTTCACTACTGGGATCACTCATTTGGTTCCTAAAGATCAGGATGCCACAGACCCGAGCAAATACCGCCCCATCACGTGTCTACCGACCATATACAAGACACTAACATCCATTTTGAGCGCGAGAATCACTCGTCACCTGGACTCTAATCAGGTGATGTCGCGCGCTCAAAATGGATGTCGGGGCGGCGGTCGTGGAACCAAGGAACCACTCCTCATTGACGCGGTCATTGGCAAAGTGGCGAAACGCAACCGTCGGAACTTCTCCGCCGCCTGGATATATTACAGAAAGGCATTTGACTCGGTGCCCCATACATGGCTAAAGAGGGTCCTCGAGCTGTACAAGATTGACTGTACAGTTCGAGACTTCCTCGAGCAGTGTATGGGGTAGTGGAGTACGATCCTCTGTCATCTAGGCGAGCGGATGACGGCTGCGGAAAGCCGCATAAGGATAAGAAGGGATATATTCCAGGGCGACTGTCTGAGTCCAGTCTGGTTCTGAATCTCTTTGAACCCTCTTAGTACTTTACTGGAAGGCTCCGGGAGGGGGATTTCAGCTTCGGAAAGGAGGTGCAAAAGTAACCCACCTTTTCTATATGGATGACCTCAAGTTATTCGCCTCCAGTCGCTCCCATCTTATCTAATTGCTAAACATCACTTGTGAATTTAGCAATTCTATTAGAATGGAGCTGGTGACGGATAAGTGTGCGGTCCTCCATGTTGAAAGGGGAAGGGTTGCTAACTCTGAGGGCATAGACTTATCTATGCCCGTCAACTTAAGGGCCCTTTCCGAGGCTGAAACATACCGATACCTGGGTATGTCACAGAACATCGGTATCGATGAGGCTGGTATGAAACAGTCAGTTTGCGACGTGTTTTATGCACGCTTGACCAAAGTGCTTAACAGCCTTTTGTCCGGTGTGAATAAGACACTTGCATATAATGGTTGGGTCATGCCTATCCTCATGTATACCTTTGGCATACTCAGGTGGAGTCAGACTGAACTTAACGCCCTGGATAGAAAAGTCCGCACTACAATGACGTCCCATAAGATGCATCATCCGAGATCGTCGGTAATGAGGCTGTACTTGCCGCGAAAGCATGGTGGGCATGGCTTTCCGAGCGCGCTCACCATGCATAATCGCGAAGTGTGCAGCCTCCGTCATTACTTCCTGGCAAGATCGGATGATCCATTCTATAATGACGTCATTTCTAGTGTTAAAGGACTTACCCCTCTATCCTTAGCCAACGAGCAATGGCAAGACCCGGCAGTACAGAGCATTTCCGACCGGGAGACCATATGGAAGGAGAAGGAGCTCCAGGGGAGGTACTACAGGGCTCTACATGAGCCTCACGTAGATACAGCCGCCTCCCTCAACTGGCTACGTTTCGGTGACCTCTTCGGGGAAACCGAGGGTTTTGTCTGTGCAATACATGATCAGGTTATTAAGACCAACAACTATCGGAGATACATCCTAAAGGATGGCACTGTCGACGTCTGTCGAGCTTGTCGCCATCCCGGGGAGTCACTTAGGCTTGTTATCTCCGGTTGTTCGGCGCTTTCTAACTCTGAGTACTTGCACAGCACAACCTAGTAGCCAGAATTCTACACCAGGAGCTCGCTCTGAAATACGATCTCGTGGACCGAAAAATGCCGTATTACAAGTACTTGCCGGAAGCCGTGCTCGAAAATGACCGCGCCAAGCTCTACTGGGACCGGGCCATCATCACAGATAGGACTATTCTTGCGAATAAGCCTGATATTGTGTTGATGGACCGGGCACAGTCAAGGATATTTTGATCGACATTACCATTCCGTATGAAGAGAACCTCGTGAAAGCCGAAACAGAAAAACGAACAAAATATCTGGACCTGGCTCACGAGGTGACCGACATGTGGGGTGGTCTGGCTACCGAAATTATCCCTGTAGTCGTCTCTGCGAATGGGCTAATCCCAGTCAGCCTCTCGGGTCATCTGAGGCGACTGTGACTCCGTGACGGACCGCTCCGGGCTCAAATGCAGAAGACGGTGCTCCTCGATACCGCCCGCATCGTCCGCCGGTTTCTTTTCCCTTTCCCCCCTAACCCTCGGCCGTTTGGTCTCCCCTGCCGAGGGCTCCCATCTGGTTGGATCTTATTTATTTATGTAGTTTTTGTTTATTTTATTTTATTGATATTTATGTATATTTATCTTTTCATTTTAATTTATAATTATATATTTATAGAACCCAACCAGGTGAGAAAATTATATAGATACCCCAAGAATAATAATAAGAATAACAATCAAGTAACAATAACAAGCGGAGGTCAGTCAAACCTAAACCACCCGAAGACAGGGGGGCAAGAACTGTTAGCGGTGAAAGACTCACCGGTGCGTCAACGCTGTACAGCGCGAGCAGGACAGCGGAGGTGCGAGAACGAGATAGCACTACCGTACAAGGACGAGAGCGCGGACTACCTGGATGCGACCGCTCGAGAGCGATGGCACAGGCGGAATGTTTTTGTTGTGTGGTCCATACCAGTACATGCCTTATATAGTAGAACATCGGCCATTCGGGAAGATTCTGTTGCTTATCTTCTGTTTCATTCTATTATAACGCCACGACGCGAGTTAGGTGCAAATGAGTTGGGATGTATATGTGTGCGTGAGTGTATGCTCTTACAAAAAGTTGAACATGGAACTGGTTTGATTTTGGTATCACTAAAACTTATGCAACGCTACGTCTATGTTTTCGTTGTTCTGAGGTTATCGAAGGATACATTTTTAATATACACACACACATATATTTTTTATTTTTTTTTATTGATTTAATAAGGCTTACAAACTAAATACATATAGAAACAATTATTATGAGGTGCACTTAAAAAATTGTATATATGCAAAATTAAAGTAAACACAACATATAATAAAAGAGTTCCTTTAAGGAAAACAGTAACCTATAAAACTATCACTACAATAAAATAAGAAAATTAGAACAAAGAAGTAAAAAAAAAACTTTTAAAATGAAAAAAATATTTGGCTGTGTAGTGTGTTAGTACCTTCCTCTTTAAAACATTCAAGCTATCAAAATGGATATCCAAATCACAATTTTGAAATGTTGAATTGAATGCATTCAACACGGATGATAAAGGTGTGTTTCTGCCATATTCATTACGACTCTTTAATATGAAACGGTTTGTAGTTATGTAGACGTGCACTAATTCTTGGAACAGTGATATCGATATCAAGTAAGAGAGACCGACAGTCAATTTTAAAACTTAAGAGCTTGTGCAAGAAAGTGTAATAATTAATATACCCTTACGCCTTTCTAAAGGTATCATATGATAATGCTCAAGTCTTTTCTTATAGCTATTAAAAGTGTGATAAGTCCCTTCGATGTAACTAAGTCTAGCTAACATTCTTTTTTTGCACCTATTCTATACGTTGTATATTGTTTTGATAACTAGGATACCAAACAAAGGAACAGTAGTCTATATTGCTACAGATCAACGCGAAATAGAGGGCCTTTAAAGTTGGTATGTACATAAATTTTGTAGTGTTACGAGAGATGAATGCTATTAATCTATTACACTTATTTATTGTGATATCAATATGACGTGTGAATTACATTTCGACTTTATCGTCGAGATCAATGTTTAGGCCTAAATCTTTAAAATATTTTACTTGATTAAGACGAGTATCTGCAATATAGTAATTAGTCTCGAATTTTTTATATTTCCTTGAAAATTTTATGTGGTGACATTTTTTTACATTGAGTTCTATCTTATTGCATTCATATACCATTTACAAAGATCGTTAATATCCCTCTGTAATAGTAACTGGTCCTCCGTGCACTTAACAGTTCTAAAAAATTTCAGATCATCCGCATATAATACAAACTGACTGTTATTTAATACATGTTTTATGTCATCTATAAACAAACAAAATAAAATTGGACCCAGGACTGAATCCTGATATATATATATATATATATATATATATATATATATATATATATATATATATATATATATATATATTATAAGGAGCCATTATTTTACTTAAATTAGCAGAAATTACTGTCATATATTTTCTTGTTGATGACTTTATAAGAAACCCTATTAGCAATTCAAGTTACATTACGATTCCCATCGGGTAACTTGAGCCAACTTCAAACATAACATTTGCATAAAACAGTGCTAACTTTATACTCAAGAGTGGAAATATAGAGTTGGTGTTAGGTAACCTATGTAATAATTTTTAAATATAATACATAGGTATTCTATTGTGCATACTACAATATATTTAATAAAATATAAGTATAAGTATGATGTATAGGTTGTCAGAAATTGATTTTAGCATTAAGACCGCTCACTGTGACACTTATTTTTTCTTTTATTTCCTTCATGTTTTGTTTTGAACATATTCATAGACTGTAGTCTGTGAACATACTCAAGATCGTCCCCACCATTACATAAAATTTTATAAATGACAAACCCTTGTAAAATAACACGGATTCCTACCAAGGATGTTACGCAAAGCTATTGAAATTAAAAAAAAATCCTAATTTCAATAGGGAGAGGGATGTGTGCTTGATCATATAATTAACAATGTTAAATACAAAATCAAGCATATCACTGCAAGACTTCAAGATACTGTATGGAGCATACAGTATCTGCGTAGATCGTACCAAAATTTAATATTCAAAAAACTGAAGTTAGCCGGGCTAACTTTGACGTTGGGACGTCAAATACCTTAGACCCCCCAGTGACCATGGGTGCTTTAAAGCACCCGAAACGCCGGGAATTAAAAATAAGTTAGTTAAACACGATAAAATCTGAATAAATATTTTTATTTATTTCCAATCATTATTTGTTTTATTTCTCCATCACTCTTTATGTATGTTTGCAATGAGATTTTAATGTTTAATAGCTATCATAAAATATATTTGCTTTGCACTTTTATAAACATCTTTCCTTTTTATCTATTTTCTCTAATTTTGTTTGCTAAGTTTTTATTCTAATGTTGTTGCTTGTTTCAAAGTATAAATAGACTGTAAGTCTTATAATCGCTTAGGAATTTTGTCCAAAGTACCAGCAGAATAACGGCGCTACGAAAATGTTGGTGCAGCTTATGTTAAATCGGTATCCATTTCTTTGCAGCAGCCAAATATTTCTTTATTTTTTTAAAAAAATACCTATATGTCTTGTGTGATAGTTACAGATAAATATTATTTTTTTCTTGAATCTGTCATTTCATTTTGTATTCCGAATTTATATTAATTGTTTTTAAATATTTCTTTATTTGTGTTCCCGCCTTTTTTAGTGTTCATGCTACAAAAGAAAAATTGAATATTAATGTTTTTCAAAATGACTTTCAAAGCGCTTTCCATTCGATATCCCGCTGTCAGTCGGTATATACGGGTATGTGTATTATCTGCGAGTCGGTCACCAGAGGCTCGTTTGTCAATCAGCGGTTCACCGTGTGCAGCGTAGATAATAATATGCATATATATTTTGTTGACTCGACAATATTTGAAATAAAATTTAAAGAGAAATGGAATATTCGCGCTAGCACAGGTACATGTGTGTAGCCTGATTTGCTCATATTAAAATTCAATTTACATTGCTTTTATCTGCAAAACTTACGTGAAGTAAACATCACTTATCTTAGTTTTTGCAAATATTAACAAACTTGTTTAGAAGCAAAATGAGAACATTGAATAAAATAAACTTTTAATTATTATATTGCGTTTGTTTATTGTGATAATTTTTTAAAACATTTATTTTTGTTTCAGATATGAGCTGCTGTAGAGCACTCTTACGATTACTCATTCACTTAATCTTACTCGTATGTTTTAGGTTTTATGTACAAATTTTTGTAATAAGTGCATCGCAACCATCGAGTAGTATCATAAGTCTATGATCGCAATTCGCAACACTACAATACAATACAGTAAAATTTTCCTATATTTTGCCTCATTTGATGCACGTCACTGCAAAAAGGGCCGATTTTCGATATTTTTATTCGATAAATGAACATGTTGCAGGAGTAGTCATAACAAGATTTAAAAAAAAACAATGGGGAACTACACTACGGCGCAGTAACGTCCTTTAAAATTTTATTTTGTCTAAGTCGCAGGAACTTAGATGTTTATTGGTGGTAATTAAGGTCAAGTAAAGACTAGTTTTTGAAATAGAAGTTTAAATTAACTGTGTTTAACTATATCTGTTATTATTATGTTTACCTATTCATTGAAAAAATATTACTTTATATTCTCACAACATACATACTGTTCGCGATGGTCTAACAACGCTAAGAAACAAAGTGATAAAGAATATTGTTTTTTGTATTAATAGTGAAATTACCGACAAAACTGGGTGAAAACGTGTATTGATATAGTTGTGTAGCATGTTTATAACTCTTAGAATATTTGTATAGAATGTCGTTTTGACGTTTTTTTTGGCGTTTGCTGGGACAAATGTTAGTTTGTCCCAGCCGGATATAATGCAAAAACTGACGGAGCGCATAGACGACCTGAAGCAAAGAATCGCTGCTTGGGGAAAGCGGATTCGGCGATATACCGAGAGGTCGACACCAGACCGGAATCGTCTCTTCCAGAGTGATCATAAGAGCCTCTATAAATCATTGGAGCGATCAATAGTAAGTGGAACGGGCCCAGCACCAAATCAGGCCGACACGGTCGCATTCTGGCGTACGCCTGTGGTCAGAGCCCGTAAACCACAACGAGGGCCCTTGGACGGAAGTTGTGGCGAGGCAGTGTCCGGGTATTACGCCCATGGACCCCGTCATCATAACGCCGGATGACGTAGCTGAGGCGGTCCGTATGGCCCCGAACTGGAAAAGTCCGGGGCTTGACGGGCTGCATCACTACTGGCTGAAGGGGTTCATGGTGTGTCACGCTGTGCTCGCTCGACAGTTTCAAGAGGCTCTCAACCAGAAGTCACTCCCAAGCCTCTTCACTACTGGGATCACTCATTTGGTTCCTAAAGATCAGGATGCCACAGACCCGAGCAAATACCGCCCCATCACGTGTCTACCGACCATATACAAGACACTAACATCCATTTTGAGCGCGAGAATCACTCGTCACCTGGACTCTAATCAGGTGATGTCGCGCGCTCAAAATGGATGTCGGGGCGGCGGTCGTGGAACCAAGGAACCACTCCCCATTGACGCGATCATTGGCAAAGTGGTGAAACGCAACCGTCGGAACTTCTCCGCCGCCTGGATATATTACAGAAAGGCATTTGACTCGGTGCCCCATACATGGCTAAGAGGGTCCTCGAGCTGTACAAGATTGACTGTACAGTTCGAGACTTCCTCGAGCAGTGTATGGGGTAGTGGAGTACGATCCTCTGTCATCTAGGCGAGCGGATGACGGCTGCGGAAAGCCGCATAAGGATAAGAAGGGGTATATTCCAGGGCGACTGTCTGAGTCCAGTCTGGTTCTGAATCTCTTTGAACCCTCTTAGTACTTTTACTGGAAGGCTCCGGGAGGGGATTTCAGCTTCGGAAAGGAGGTGCAAAAGTAACCCACCCTTTCTATATGGATGACCTCAAGTTATTCGCCTCCAGTCGCTCTCATCTTATCTAATTGCTAAACATCACTTGTGAATTTAGCAATTCTATTAGAATGGAGCTGGTGACGGATAAGTGTGCGGTCCTCCATGTTGAAAGGGGAAGGGTAGCTAACTCTGAGGGCATAGACTTATCTATGCCCGTCAACTTAAGGGCCCTTTCCGAGGCTGAAACATACCGATACCTGGATATGTCACAGAACATCGGTATCGATGAGGCTGGTATGAAACAGTCAGTTTGCGACGTGTTTTATGCACGCTTGACCAAAGTGCTTAACAGCCTTTTGTCCGGTGTGAATAAGACACTTGCATATAATGGTTGGGTCATGCCTATCCTCATGTATACCTTTGGCATACTCAGGTGGAGTCAGACTGAACTTAACGCCCTGAATAGAAAAGTCCGCACTACAATGACGTCCCATAAGATGCATCATCCGAGATCGTCGGTAATGAGGCTGTACTTGCCGCGAAAGCATGGTGGGCATGGCTTTCTGAGCGCGCTCACCATGCATAATCGCGAAGTGTGCAGCCTCCGTCATTACTTCCTGGCAAGATCGGATGATCCATTCTATAATGACGTCATTTCTAGTGTTAAAGGACTTACCCCTCTATCCTTAGCCAACGAGCAATGACAAGACCCGGCAGTACAGAGCATTTCCGACCGGGAGACCATATGGAAGGAGAAGGAGCTCCAGGGGGAGGTACTACAGGGCTCTACATGAGCCTCACGTAGATACAGCCGCCTCCCTCAACTGGCTACGTTTCGGTGACCTCTTCGGGGAAACCGAGGGTTTTGTCTGTGCAATACATGATCAGGTTATTAAGACCAACAACTATCGGAGATACATCCTAAAGGATGGCACTGTCGACGTCTGTCGAGCTTGTCGCCATCCCGGGGAGTCACTTAGGCTTGTCATCTCCGGTTGTTCGGCGCTTTCTAACTCTGAGTACTTGCACAGCACAACCTAGTAGCCAGAATTCTACACCAGGAGCTCGCTCTGAAATACGATCTCGTGGACCGAAAAATGCCGTATTACAAGTACTTGCCGGAAGCCGTGCTCGAAAATGACCGCGCCAAGCTCTACTGGGACCGGGCCATCATCACAGACAGGACTATTCTTGCGAATAAGCCTGATATTGTGTTGATGGACCGTGCACAGTCAAGGATATTTTGATCGACATTACCATTCCGTATGAAGAGAACCTCGTGAAAGCCGAAACAGAAAAACGAACAAAATATCTGGACCTGGCTCACGAGGTGACCGACATGTGGGGTGGTCTGGCTACCGAAATTATCCCTGTAGTCGTCTCTGCGAATGGGCTAATCCCAGTCAGCCTCTCGGGTCAACTGAGGCGGCTGCGACTCCGTGACGGACCGCTCCGGGCTCAAATGCAGAAGACGGTGCTCCTCGATACCGCCCGCATCGTCCGCGGGTTTCTTTCCCTTTCCGCCTTTCCCCCTAACCCTCGGCCGTTTGGTCTCCCCTGCCGAGGGCTCCCATCTGGTTGGATCTTATTTATTTATGTAGTTTTTGTTTATTTTATTTTATTGATATTTATGTATATTTATCTTTTCATTTTAATTTATAATTATATATTTATAGAACCCAACCAGGTGAGAAAATTATATAGATACCCCAAGAATAATAATAAGAATAACAATCAAGTAACAATAACAAGCGGAGGTCAGTCAAACCTAAACCACCCGAAGACAGGGGGGCAAGAACTGTTAGCGGTGAAAGACTCACCGGTGCGTCAACGCTGTACAGCGCGAGCAGGACAGCGGAGGTGCGAGAACGAGATAGCACTACCGTACAAGGACGAGAGCGCGGACTACCTGGATGCGACCGCTCGAGAGCGATGGCACAGGCGGAATGTTTTTGTTGTGTGGTCCATACCAGTACATGCCTTATATAGTAGAACATCGGCCATTCGGGAAGATTCTGTTGCTTACCTTCTGTTTCATTCTATTATAACGCCACGACGCGTGTTAGGTGCAAATGAGTTGGGATGTATATGTGTGCGTGAGTGTATGCTCTTACAAAAAGTTGAACATGGAACTGGTTTGATTTTGGTATCACTAAAACTTATGCAACGCTACGTCTATGTTTTCGTTGTTCTGAGGTTATTGAAGGATACATTTTTAATATACACACACATATATATTTTTTATTTTTTTTTATTGATTTAATAAGGCTTACAAACTAAATACATATAGAAACAATTATTATGAGGTGCACTTAAAAAATTGTATATATGCATTTAAATTAAAAGTAAACACAACATATAATAAAAGAGTTCCTTTAAGGAAAACAGTAACCTATAAAACTATCACTACAATAAAATAAGAAAATTAGAACAAAGAAGTAAAAAAAAACTTTTAAAATGAAAAAAAATATTTGGCTGTGTAGTGTGTTAGTACCTTCCTCTTTAAAACATTCAAGCTATCAAAATGGATATCCAAATCACAATTTTGAAATGTTGAATTGAATGCATTCAACAAGGATGATAAAGGTGTGTTTCTGCCATATTCATTACGACTCTTTAATATGAAACGGTTTGTAGTTATGTAGACGTGCACTAATTCTTGGAACAGTGATATCGATATCAAGTAAGAGAGACCGACAGTCAATTTTAAAACTTAAGAGCTTGTGCAAGAAAGTGTAATAATTAATACACCCTTACGCCTTTCTAAAGGTATCATATGATAATGCTCAAGTCTTTTCTTATAGCTATTAAAAGTGTGATAAGTCCCTTCGATGTAACTAAGTCTAGCTAACATTCTTTTTTGCACCTTTTCTATACGTTGTATATTGTTTTGATAACTAGGATACCAAACAAAGGAACAGTAGTCTATATTGCTACAGATCAACGCGAAATAGAGGGCCTTTAAAGTTGGTATGTACATAAATTTTGTAGTGTTACGAGAGATGAATGCTATTAATCTATTACACTTATTTATTGTGATATCAATATGACGTGTGAATTACATTTCGACTTTATCGTCGAGATCAATGTTTAGGCCTAAATCTTTAAAATATTTTACTTGATTAAGACGAGTATCTGCAATATAGTAATTAGTCTCGAATTTTTTATATTTCCTTGAAAATTTTATGTGGTGACATTTTTTTACATTGAGTTCTATCTTATTGCATTCATACCATTTAAAAAGATCGTTAATATCCCTCTGTAATAGTAACTGGTCCTCCGTGCACTTAACAGTTCTAAAAAAATTTCAGATCATCCGCATATAATACAAACTGACTGTTATTTAATACATGTTTTATGTCATCTATAAACAAACAAAATAAAATTGGACCCAGGACTGAATCCTGTATATATATATATATATATATATATATATATATATATATATATATATATATATATATATATTATAAGGAGCCATTATTTTACTTAAATTAGCAGAAATTACTGTCATATATTTTCTTGTTGATGACTTTATAAGAAACCCTATTAGCAATTCAAGTTACATTACGATTCCCATCGGGTAACTTGAGCCAACTTCAAACATAACATTTGCATAAAACAGTGCTAACTTTATACTCAAGAGTGGAAATATAGAGTTGGTGTTAGGTAACCTATGTAATAATTTTTAAATATAATACATAGGTATTCTATTGTGCATACTACAATATATTTAATAAAATATAAGTATAAGTATGATGTATAGGTTGTCAGAAATTGATTTTAGCATTAAGACCGCTCACTGTGACACTTATTTTTTCTTTTATTTCCTTCATGTTTTGTTTTGAACATATTCATAGACTGTAGTCTGTGAACATACTCAAGATCGTCCCCACCATTACATAAAATTTTATAAATGACAAACCCTTGTAAAATAACACGGATTCCTACCAAGGATGTTACGCAAAGCTATTGAAATTAAAAAAAATCCTAATTTCAATAGGGAGAGGGATGTGTGCTTGATCATATAATTAACAATGTTAAATACAAAATCAAGCATATCACTGCAAGACTTCAAGATACTGTATGGAGCATACAGTATCTGCGTAGATCGTACCAAAATTTAATATTCAAAAACTGAAGTTAGCCGGGCTAACTTTGACGTTGGGACTTCAAATACCTTAGACACCCCAGTTACCATTGGTGCTTTAAAGCACCCGAAACGCCGTGAATTAAAAATAAGTTAGTTAATCACGATAAAATCTGAATAAATATTTTTATTTATTTCCAATCATTATT